GCATGTTCATCATCAGCACACAGTTGTATTTCAAATTCTGCCTTACTTTGCTCTGTCCTATAAGTCTTTTTATCTATTTTAAATCTTTCAGATAACTGTAAATGGGAAAACCATTGACAACTATATCCTTCTGCTACTAATTGCTCTCTTGATTTGATTTTAAATTCCCCTTGATAATTTTCCAATAAGTTCGGGTATGTCAACCATTTATCTTTGTCTGCCAGTTCCCTTCTATAATATGCTTCTTGAGCTGAGATCCATAAAGGTGTTTTCGGGCACAACCTCGGTTTATATCTCTTCCATATTCTCAATATGGCACGTCTAATGAAATGATTTTTAAAGTCCACATTAATTTTAACTTTATTGTACCAGAAATATCCATGCCATCCAAACCTCAGGTTGTGATCTTCTAACTGTAAAAGCCTCTTGTTTCTCATCTTTCATCCAGACCAAACAACAAGCAGCAAAATACAATTTCAAATCCAGTAAACCCAATCTTCCTCTTTCCTATGTATCTTGTAACACTTTATATTTAAGTCATGATTTTTTTCCTTGCCATATAAATTTAGATATGTCTTTTTCCCATTGTTTAAATGGTGCATCTATTGTAAAAACAGGTATTGTCTGAAACAAAAACATCATTCTTGGCAAAACGTTCATTTTTATCACAGAAATTCTCCCCAACAGTGACACTTTTAATTTCTCCCATCTTAACATATCTTTCTTAATTTCAGTCCATGTCTTAACATGATTATTTTGAAATAACATAACAGTTCATATTTGTCATAGTAATACCCGTATTTTACTTTTTTCTCAGTCTTAAAACCAGTTTTTCATCAGTTGTATTTGTTCTTCTAATTTCATATTTTTTGTTAACATCTTTGACTTCTGATCGTTACCACACTGACATTTGAATACCTTCAGAAATAGACATCTGTATCTCTGTCTCACAACCCTACAAATTACAGTGTGATTTTTACTGATTAAAGAAATTCTCACCGATTCATCAACTAAGCTGTAATTGATTAACCTGCCAATTAAAGTTTGCACCGTTATTTGGTGAGCATCGTATGTATTTGTAAGATGGTTCAATAGTAGTTCAGCTGGATTAAGTAGTTCAGCTATGAAGATTAGAATGCTACAAAGGCACTCAGTGTTTATATATTTGTATATGGGTATATGTTAATACATTCTGATATAAATACTGATCCTTGGAATAGATCAGACTGGAAATGTAAATAACGTTAATTACTGTGTCATATGGAATAATGTAGTATATAATTATAGCTTTTCCAGGACGATATTGAAATTTTTCTTTAATTGGACATAACACCATCAGATACGAATGTGGCAACCTTGCAGTTTATAAATAAGTCATTTATAATTAAAAAACATAGTACTCCCAAAGGGTTTGTGGCATCTTTGCTGGGAAATAACTAAGTAGAGATCAGAAGCAAGCAGGATTTAAAAATAAGATAGAAACAACATTAAGGTGTTACTATTCAGCGCTTTTAAAGAATATTGCAGAATGTTTCAGTAGGTGAAAAAGGCAGTTGTGATATTCAGTTGTGTTATCCTAAATCTCTCAGTTTTTCTTGAGAATAATTTTTGTAAAATTTAGAATGAAAAGAGAGCAGCTTCCTTTAAGTATTTTGACCTTGCATTCTTCTTTAGAGTGAGTTCCATAGCCATCAACAGTGTCTTACACTATAGATTCCACTATAGATATCATAGAGTACTTTGCAAAATTATTAGCTCCCAGACACTGTAGTAAAGCCCAAAAGTATGAGGATATTGGAGATGCTTTTGGGACCAGTAATCGCATTTGGAATTTTAAGATAGTATCCAAAACGGCTGCCCTGTGATGTCCATTCATAAAATGGCTGTTGTGGTGGTTGCAAGTTCCGTATCTATTTCAGACAAAGGAAAATTGCTAGGGCTGAAAATAATAGTAACTTGGCCACAAAACAGTTTTACTTAACTGAATTCATAGTTCTTTTTCCTATTCATGAGCACTTACCCCAAGACCTTTTTCTCTTTCATCCACAGTTGATGTATAAGATACACCCCAACGTGTATCTTCTGCATCAACTGTGAATCCCAACATGTACTCTCTCTTTTACATACCACTAATACATAAACTGCCATCTTTTCCACATAACTGTGTTTTCTCTCTCGTTCTCTCTATTGCAGCCTGGATCATTCTCTTTTCTATTGGATTGTTTATTTAAAAAACGTGTGTTTAAAGACAGCAGAACAGGTGGAGTTCTAGTATACTGAGCATTGTTCACTATATTTAATACTCTTCTGATTGAATCCAGTATATTTATTTTAGAAATAAACCCAGATTGATAAAAAGAACATGTAATTACTTACAGATATATTTAACTTTTTGGCCAATCGTTCAATGAATATTTTTCATCTTGATTTAATTAAAAGGCTTTGTCTTGAACAATTGGAACTTAGTGCGTTAGATTTATATGATACCTCATTTGTTTGTTTGTTTGTTTTTTGCCTTCAAGTCAGTGTTGACTCTTGGTGATTGCTTGGACAAATCCCTGCAGTTTTCTTGGCAAGTGTTCCAAAGTGGTTTGCCATTGTCTTCTTCCTAGGGCTGAGAGAGAGTGAGTGGCCCAAGGTCGCTCTGCTAACTTTGTGGCTAAGGCGGGACTAGAACTCCCAGTCTCCTGGCTTCTAGCCTGGCACCTTAACCACTCCCCCAAACTCGCATTCATATAAACTTTTGGGGGTCTTTATTTGGCTTAGGAATAATAAGTAGTTGAATTTGTTCGCAAGGGTGAGGATTATTATTATTTTTCATTATAATATAGTTGATACAATTGTATTCTTTTTAAAAAACACTTTCTAATATTCAGGTTCCAAATCAGGCACACCTGGAGTTCTATTACTTTTACATTGTTTTATGACACCATCTATTTCATTTTCATCTTATTATTTAAGACCAACTTTCTGTTCATTATTTTAGTAAGTTTAGATTTTATTAGTAATCAATTACTAGATTTTAAGTTTGCTTCAAGCACATTTAAATTTGGCTTATCCAAAGTATCTCTTGTTTTAATTATTGTATAGAAATGTTGCTTTTTATTTCATTTCCTTAGAGCTGTTCTGTAGAAGAAATTAAAAGGCTTTGTCTTGAACAATTGGAGCTTATGTCTGAGAAGAAGTTATTGAAAATTCTTGAAGGTAAGTTTCAGTATATACTGAACTAAAATTTGGCTTGTTTATTCTAAAATTTGAGAGTAACTCCTGTATAAGACTAGACAAGGACACAGCTTTCTATCAGTTCAGAAAATTAACAAATATTTTTGTACTAAAAAGCTAAATTCCATATATATGTTTACTCAGATGTAAGTTTTACTGAGCTCAACAGGACCTATTTCCACATTGCGTATATGGTCTGGAAATACACGTATATGATTAAAACCTAAAATATTTTATTTCTTTTTAGGCATCAAATACGTCTAATAAAATCAGAATTTAGATGTCTGAATTAGAGACAACAGAGCTGAAGCCCTCTATTTTATGCAGCGCTATCAGATTAATTATTTAGATTCAGACTATGGAGTAATTCATAGCAAAAGGAATAACTATGATTTCTAATTTTGAATCAGTAGCCTTTGCCTTATGTATGCAAAATAAATATGCTTTGATTAGAATTACGAAGTTTGATCATTCTGGCTCTGTGGGCATCTAGATACATTTGCATCATCTGAAAAAAGAAAGTCCTTTCATTTCTGTCAAGACATAGGTGGGATCATATAGTGTTCCTTTCCTGCAGAAGAAGAAGAACAACAACAACAACAATTAGGAGGAGCCAGAAGAGGATTGGAGACTGATGGTACTGAGAATTAGAGCACAGCAGGAAAAGTGGGGAAGAACTGGCTCCTGCATCTGGGTCATCTTCAGCTTCTTATCCCAGTTAGGGCTCCCCCAAGTACTTTCCAAGTCCGTGTGAGCAATGGCAAGAGTGAGGCTGAAAGGCACAGGTTTGGGAAGGAGCAGGGAAGGTTTCTTTGGAATAACAGTCTCTTTAGGAGTTACTGTTGTTCCCAGCTGAACTGGCAGTGTGATATGAGCCAATATGTACCATCTGATTTAGGAAAGAGATTTGGAGCCTGGGATTTAAAGCTGCCAGTTGGAAATAACCCAGTGTTTGAAATAACATCTTTACTTGAACCAGTTGCCAGAACCTTTGCCTCATTTTCTAGATTGACTACTTGGACCTGTAACATGGTTTGTATCCTGATCCTGTGCTTTTCTTGTGGTGCTGAATTATTTCGCTGCTTGGCTGACTCTGAAGCTGGTAGACCCTGTCTCTGCTTCATCCTTATTTTTGTTTGGCTATATGAAAAAACTAGCAAATCCTATCTGCCTGATAAAGCTCAGTCACCAAAGGAGCTTGACGCTTTGGGTAGAAGGAACAAATGTCACATGGCAGGGATATAAATGAAGTTAGGGAAACTGAGGCCAGGAAGCACTGTTTTTCTGTCATTGTCACGGCCTTGTGGAATAACCTTCCTGAGGCTTCCTCCATGTTCTGGAGGATGGAACTCTTCTGAAGAGTGTTTGGAGAATAGTTTGCTATTGCCATCTTTAGTTTGCCTTGAAGTTATTTAAATTGATTGTTTATGTTATTTTATTTTTGTATTGGTTTTGTTTGTTTTATTTATTTTTCATGATTATTATTTTGTATTTTGTATTTTTGATTAATAATGGGTTGTTTTTTATTTAACTGTTTTATGTATGGGGTTTTTTTTTCACCATTTTGGAAACTGCCATGAGTCTGTTGATTTGGTGATACAGTAGTAGAACAACTTGTACTGTATTGTACAAAAGTAGAATGAATGAACAATCAAGTAATTTAAAAAAAAATACAGAGAATTTTAAAGATGGGACCATAGGACATCTTAGTGTTGTTTATTCCCACCAAGAATGCTCTTCATATTTATGGAGTTTAATCCCCAGAATCATCCAGACAGCATAGCCATTGTTGGGAATTCTGGGAGTTGAAGTTCATTTATCTTAAGGGCACCTTGATTAGGGAAGGGTTGCCTGTACCGACAGGCAATAACTGTCTCTACAGTTTCAGATTCAGGGTTTGGCAGCCTGAACTGCCAGAGATTGAAACCTAGGACTTTTTTCACATAAAGTATGCAAAAAAACCACTGAGCTACATCTTTCCCCTTATTCCTGTATCTTACAGAAAGAAGAGCAGTCCCCATTTTTATATCTTCCAACTGTTCATCAACATTGTCAGGTCTACTATCTATGAAAATAGCCTTTCAGTTCATTCCTCAACTATATAAAACCAGCCCAATCTTCTTCCAGACCCACAGATAAAGACAAGGAAATTGTACTGTCTGAGGACAGAATGAGAAACCAGTGCTGGGATTTGAGGAAGATATTACATGATTTGAATGAAATAAAGGCAAAGTCTGAATAGAGGTGAAGTGACGGCAGGTGTTGATAGAGAAGGTCATTTACAGTAGGGAAAGCAGGATAGGACTAGAATATAAACATCAAACATCCATTTAATCTGTCCTTATGAAGAAAGCATAAATTCTAATCTGTAATTGCAGTTATGAGTAGAGAATTGCAGTGCCCTTATTTGGAATCAAGGGCAGCTCCGCCCAGTAAAGGCAGATGTGATTACTGACACACTATTTGGATATTGAGTAGCTCAGTCCAAGTTAGTGGCCCCAGATGTATGGATATGGGCATTTAAAGAAGCAAGTACATTAATTATACTATGCTTTTGTTGTGTGGTACATCTATATATTTCTAAAGCAGTGGTGTTTTTTGTAATTGTGGATCCCTAATGAACACTAAGCAAAAAAAAAAAAATGTTTGTATATGCAGCAGACAAATACAGCAGTTGTCTATAATATAGATAGGATGAGACACTGAGCAAATGAAGGGAAATGTAGCTGGAATCCCTCTAATATAGGAAGATTTAAGATTAATGTTTTTAGCAGTCAGGGGAGTTGCTCAACAAGTGTTTTTGTTATAATACTTTTTTCTTACTTTGCAAATTAAAAATTGGAAGGTTATCTCATAAGATGCTTTGCATGTATTTTTTATGTTAATCTTAATGAAGATTGTTTTTGTTGATTTATTCAATTTATATGATTGCCCAATTCAAAATGCTTGGGCAGCTTACAGCAAATTTAAAACCAAGTGAAATATCAAATCTTAAAAACAACTAAGGACAATCACTCAGCTCTATAAAACATCTCTCAAAACGTTTCTCAGTCTTGCTGAATGCCCTGGCCCAATGATTATGAGAATAGCCAGGTCTTCAGTGGTTTCTGAAAGGCCAACAGGATCAGGGCCGTCCATATTTTGGGAGGTAAGCTGTTCTGCCAAATTATGGGGGGTAAGCAGGGACCATGACAAGGAAAGCATGCTTTCTGGGTCCATCAGATAGCATTGCTTGATAGAAGGGATTTGGAACATGCCAGTTATGTTGGATTTGTTGGGACAGGCAGAATTAATAAGAGTCAGATGGTCCTGCACATAACCCAACCCTGTGCCATGAAGAGGTTTACAGGTGACAGCCAGCAACTTAAATTGTACCTAGAAGCCTACTGGAAGCCAGTGCAGCTCACAGTGATGTAACATGGGCATATCAAGGCATGCCCATAACTTCCCATGCTGCCACATTCTGGACCAACTGAAGGTTCTAAGTCAGTGTTGTCCAAACTTGGCCACTTTAAGATGAGTGGACTTCAACTCCCAGA